AAGTTAAAGTAACTGATATAGGAAATCGCACTACCTCGAGTAACATTCAGTATCAGAGACAGGTTTTACATGGGTACAAACTCATGTGTGTTGGAAGGTGCGTCTCTTTGCCAACTTGCATCCGTAGAATCTTTTTCGAATTACTCTACCTTTTTTCAGACATCAATCCACTATTGTGGGTACAGTGAAGCATTGTGCCATTAGGAGGAAACAACGATCTGGGAACGAATTACAAAATATTTATACCAAAAGCATCCTCGTTGTTGATCTCAGAACTTTAGACGGTTACATACTTAAACGCTATCCGTGCAAACATCAATCTGTTGTTCTTGAGTTCGCAGATACTAAGCTTGTACCCAGTTTTGCCTTCGTTTTGTAATCACACGAACAAAATCAATCAATAGTTGAATACCTGAACAAAACTGATTAGAAACGTCTTTTTGATTTTCTCAGGCACAACTTATTTAAAATTAGAACCTAACTAAGAGCTTTAATGACTTTTTTTATTATTTTTTAACACTCATCCTGTACTTATACATCGTGTTTATGCTTTCAATTGTTTCGTGGAAGAAAAATACTTTAAACTCTATCCACGTTAGCAATTAATTAACTAAATGTTATCTTTATATCAACAAGACCCAGTGGGCCGTGTAGACTGGGATACCTGGAAGGGGGTAGTAGAGGGGCTTGTTTCAGCATGCATGTAGTTAAGGTGAGCTTCCGAAAATACCAGTTGATAAAGTAGGCATTGCATGCCATGCATTAGAAAACGACATCGAAATATGTGATGTGATTGCTGTGGGCTGATCTACTTTGACGGTTTAGTTCAACGATTTTCACATAAGTCTTACATGTACTGTAAAGGTTGCGCACCTAAAAAAAACAAGATGCTCTATAGGCGTTCACTAGGTTGCCTGTATCACGCACAGACCCAACGTAGTACAAACAGTTGTAGAAGTTCGCATTGTTAGCCAAAAGATTAGAGATTGTTTCACAAAAAAGGATTTCCTTTAGTCCCCCCTAAAAGTGTTATCCCTCAGTGTAATCCTAAAAGAGTCGCAGGCTCTGCGATTACTCCCATACTAAACAGTGTTGCGTTATGCATGCAACATTATTTGTCAAACTGCCCAAACTTTTCCGCTGTCATGAAACTGAACTTGGCTATAAAGAAGTGAATGTAATTCGCGGTAAATATTCATTTGTTGGCCAAAATAATAAGCAAGGCTTTAAATTACTGATTGTTTCTTGAAGCAATTTTTTAAGCAAATTTGTTCAGAAATGTCTTCATTCAGTCCGCTTTTACTTGCTGCCTGATAAAGACTAGCAGTTTGCGGTCCGTGAAAGTCGAGGTCCTCTACGAACTGAAATGACCCCCAATCGACAAATGAATAAGTATCATTTATTACTACTTTTCCACGATTAATATTTTTTATTCATTTTATTATACCCGTTGGACTCTCCGTTTTTTGTTCGTCTTTGAATATATAATTATTTAACCATCTGACGAGCAAATACTGCAAGATTTCGACCGTAAACTTCACAATGAAGCACCAGATAAGGCATGTTAGCCATTTTCAAAATAGCCACAAAGTAAATCACAAAATGGCCGGCGGAGAGAGTTTTGTAACCAAAACTCCTCGTGATGAGTCATGCGACCCTGTGAGTCTGGAATATGACAGCGTCAATCATGCTTAAACAACACGTTGTCATGCTGTCGAAGTCTGAACCAATCAAGATCCATATTGACCGATGCCGCAATGCATACTGGGCACTAATCCATTTTTTCGAGTAAGAATCAGAAAAAAGAACCAATGCGTTTTACAACTGGACTATCACAGCTATCCCAGTAAAGATATGGCATATAAATTCAATGCCAATATTTAATGTTTACACATTGTGTCCAACAGATGGGTTCAAGTGGATTTCACTACCTTCGCAGAGGACGAAAGGACATGTTGGTTCTACTGTTCACATCAAGTGGCATTACGAATGTAATGACTTTGGTTTCTCTAGAATCTATTACAACAATAGACATCTATTCTCTCGAAAAGCAAACAAACAATATTATTATGCATTGAAAAGTGTAGTTCCTCATTTCTCTGTTATTGGTGGATCAAATGTGACAATTATCATCCCTGATATTGATAAAAATAAAAGTGGATCATATTGCTGTGAGGTTGAATGTGATCGTGGTGATAAAGATGAGGCATGCACAATTCTCGTCATATATGGTGAGTAGTTGATAATCCAACAATCCCGAATTCTTTATTACCTCCCTACGTAATGTTGTTACGTCAATCAAGGTAAACTTTGTCTTTTTTATACAGCATGGGACCAACACTGGATGCTGGAATACGTAAATGCTAGCATGATTAAAATTTGTCTGCGTATGCGCAAGATTTTGGCTTTGATGTGTCATAGCCGCCACTGTTCTTGGGTTTTGACGGAGCTGTTGTAGAAGATTCGTTAGCGATTTACATGTGTTTTTTAGATATAGGACAAAATCCATCAATGAGATTGACATTTTTTTCTGCATTTGTAATGTTGTGGATGGCTGTTTTCAATATGACTCGCAGATTACAATTCATTTAGGATCCAATTCCGTCGAAAGAATGAAAATGTTCAAAACCTACCTATATTCTTCCAACGTCCATACACATTGAAGATAATTTAAAGGAATGCCTACCAGTGAAGGCTGGTAGTGATATTTTAAAGCGTACATACATTGTCGGAGGACAAAGCAAGCCATCTGGTCTTACAAATAGTTAACGTTTATTGAAAGAGCGGGAAATGTCCAAATGATACTAAAAAAAAAACAAAAAAACAAAAAAACAATAACTAAATTAAATCAAATGCAAAGTGAAGCCGCAAAGATATTAAAAATTCTCTAGGTATTTACGGTACTTGGTATCCAGTGTCTGTGCTTCGCGGCCAATTTTGACTTTCCCTTGATTAATTGAAGAATTACACTGGCTTCATAGGAGAGTAAAACGTTTTAGTATAAATACACAGATGATTATTGAAAATCTCGCGCGCTGATTGGTCGAGAAACTCAGATTATTACACAATAATCATCTCCAGCGATAATCCAAAATGGCGGCCAGCCGCTTTGTTACTGTTTCCAAATTTTAAATGTGCCTTTTATCTCCTTTTTTCTTTTTTGAAAGGATCATCTGTGTATTTATACTAAAACAATCATTCAAATCATGCTCAGTGAATAYCGGGAATAATGACCTCAACTTTGTTTCGGTTATTATTCCCCGATATTAACTTCGCTTTCGTCGAATAATTGTTAAATATTGAATTAATTTTTGCATACCCCAGCATGTTTAATGGACARCAAACCCTAGGTTTAGTTCTTAAGCCCTACGCCTTTAGTTATTCTAACACCAGCGCTTACTTGCTGAAATCAAAATGTTGAGGATACCAACATAAAACAATTTACTATATCGTCAAAGCAAATGAATGAAGTCAAACGAYTTAATAATAGTTAGGTATATCCACAACAAAGCATTCAGAAATTCACAAAGACAAATCATGGATCGAGTAAAAATATATTAAACGAAACTTCAAAAAAATTGAAYKAAATCAGGAAAATTAAATTATACGTAAAAWCCCTTYAACTGCTGCAGCGCATATTCTTTACATGTTGTATATGACAAATATTCGCCAGCTTTACCAATCGCTATAATAGTCAACTTTCGATATTCTGGTTTAGCCATCATCAAGCACAAAACAACTGAATCTGAGCAGAGTTAATAGATCCTCTCTATTAACTCTGATCTAAGCCAACGCTCCCAGCGAAAGAGAAGAACAATTACGATTACATTATTGYTTCCCCTGGATCCTCGACTTGAAATGTTTTGTGCTGGACAACTCTATCAGAATATCGAATTTGGCTATTACACTTGGCTAGCATGAGCAAAACCTATGTTTATTTTCTCCGTATTTTTATTTTTAGCTTTGCCTCGTATCAACTACCTGACCTCACACTTTTATGGCAGACAAGGAGATTCAGTAACACTAAGATGTAATGCCTCTGGATATCCAGCACCTCGTATTACATGGATACACAAGAATACAAACAAAACAATTGCTAATTCCAGTGCAACGTCATTCAACATCACTGATAAAGGATCAGGAGGAAAGTATTGCTGTCACGTTTCAAACGGTTTTGGGAATGAGACCAACTGCACGTCCCTTGAAGTAATAGGTAAATGGCTTTTCATRAACTTAAATATTTCCTTCCTTCCTTCCTTTCTTTTTATCATTGTTTTATTTTTTCTGTCAAGGGGAATAACCTAGACACGAAAGTGGGAAATCAGTCAGCTCACAGACTTATTAATCTTGATTTCCATAATATGGAAATATTTAAAGTGCACATGAACCCTT